CGGAATCCGGTCTACCTGCGGCCCCGACTCGGCCTCCTGGCCCGTCCCCTCTTTAGGGGAGAAAGAGGGTTGCAATCTCTCCATCCGCCCACCGCCCTTCCCGCTGGGCAGGGACGGATTGCAAGTTTTCATGCACCCAAGTATCCTTTTGCAATTTAATTCTTTTGGCCTAAATCGCTCCTCAAGGCAAGCTCGCAGGCATGTAGCTGCTGCCACCGTGGGCCAAGTGTGAAGAGGGGTGTCCCTACCCCTGCGCCCCGCCCCACCTGGAGCCCCAAGGCGCGCAAGGCTCCGCCGGCTGCAATCCCCTTGACCCTGCCCTGCAACTGACCCTCGGGGGAAAGACCCCCCGCGGGGCTACTGCGCATGCTCCGAGCTGGACAGCTCCAGAGAGGGAAATTTAAAAACGGTTCTGGCTGCGACGGCGACCAAATTGCAGGACGCCAGGGGCGAGCGCGAGGGCGTCCCCCTCCGCAACCCTCGCCCACCCCAGGAGCGCGGGTAGCGGCGGCCCGGCGAGGACTGGCTCCAGGTACCGCCATGCAAGGTCGGCTTTGCTCCCTCCTCCCGGGAAGTGCCCGGCATCGCATTTCCAGGGCGGAGACCCGTGCACCGGGCTTGCAGGGGCTGCCTTATTCTGCTCTATTTTTATTTATTTTTTCCTTCCTGGGAATCCCTGAATGACTTTTGGGGCGGATCTGAGAGTCTTTGGTGGGTTTCTGTGTACGTTTCAGGCTTTGAGAAATTTAGGAAAGATTTCTTTTTTTTAAAGGCTGTTTTTTAAGGCAGCGGTGGGTGGGGGTTGGATTGGCTTGCCGAGAAGGGCAGGTGGCATTTCTGAAGGCATTTCCAGGGCGGGAGCCATGCGGGCATTCCTCCTTTTGCAAGTGGGAACTGGGCTCCCCCAGAGAAACCGGCACGGCACCTCCAGCTGTCCTTTCTTGCTTTTTATTTTCAAAGTGATCAGAACTGCGTGCGGTTGCAAATATTAGCCTGGGAAAAGGAATCCGGTTTTTCTGATGTCTATTTTGCGAGTCCACATTTCCCAAGTCTTGACATTTAGATTCTAGAGTCTTCCTCTGCCCTTCCCCCATTCATTCGAAAGAACCTGGAATTTCATTCCATTCTCTTCCTTCGCTTCTAAAACCCTGTGGAATTGCACTGGGAAAGTGACCTGGGACGCCCAGGAATTCTCTAGTACTTTTTTTTCCTTCCTGATTCTTCTTTCTTTTCTTTTCTTTCTTTCTCTCTCTCTCTCTCTCCTCTCTCTCTCTCTCTCTCTCTCTCTCTCTCTCTCTCTCTCTCTCTCTCTTTCTTTCGTTACTGTTGGTTGTTTGAGCTCCGTCCCTCTGAACTGTGGGAAAGCCCTGGTTTCTGCCCTGTCCACATCGTTGCTCACGGCAGCTTTGTTTTCTGCTTGTCTTTTCTCCAAGGAGATGATAGAAAGTGACATCTCATCCATAATGTCAGGAATTATTCGACACTCAGGGCCAAGTCATCACCGCTCTCCGCAGGAATACAGGTGAGGGCTTCGACCAGAACAAACGATATGTTTCGTCATTGTGTAAAGGGGTGCGTGCTGTTGACGGTTCCTGAAAACGATTGTTACGTTGCATTGTGGGATTCTGTAGGAGAGCCGGGACGTTCTGATTTCAAGGCTGGTCTCTCTGAGGGTGCTGAGCTCAGGGCCTGGGGCAGTGGGATCTCTAAATGCCTGTGGTCCTTTGTCCTTTGCAAGAGAAGCCCTCGCCTGGTTTAGAGACTGGGCATCCTGGCGAATGTTAAGATGACAAAAGCAGCTATGGCTTCCCCTCCAGTGGCCCTAACAGGGCTCCAGGAAATGCCCCCCAAATCGGGGTCTGGCTCCCATCCTCCTTGGTGCACTCCTGGGTTCTACTCCTGGCTGTGTGACTTTGGACAAGTCCCTTGCCCTCTCTGGGCCTCCGTTCCTGGTCAGTTAAATGATGCTCTTGAATTAGATGGTCTTAAGGTCCCTTCTAGGTCTCATGTGTTTGAAGAATACATGAGATGGAGACTGAGGCCAAAATACAGGACTTCTTGAGACAGGATGAAGGGAAATACAAGTGCGGGTGTGGAGGTGGGATGTGTGGGAGGCTTCACCTTTTTCTCTTCAAACCTCAGGCCTAGAAAGGCCTTCGGGGGCTCAACTAGTCCAGCCCCTTCTTTTACAGATGGGGAAACTGAGGCCAAGAGAGGAGAAGGGGCTTGTGCAAGATCACACAGCAAATGGGAGGGGTTAGAAGAAAAAAGGAAGGACCTGGAATGCCCCCTTTACCCCCCACAACCTCTCTCCCTTGAGCTCTGAGAGGCCTGACATGGTTCCCAGCCCCACCCCCATGGTAAGCACCAGATTATGGAGTGGGAGCAGGACAGGGGCCAGCCTGAGATGAGCAGGCTGTCACCTCACATCCCCCATCCGCCTCTGGTGCCTGGTGGGGAAGACACCCCCCCCCCCGCCCCGCCTCGATTAGAGGGAGGCCGAGGCGGCTCCCTGAAGGCGGTGGGTCTGGCGGCTGCTTTCTGAGACCCAGATGAGGCACAAATGCAAACACACATTTGCCGGGAGCCTGCTCTGTGTGGAGCTGCGTCCCTAGGTGTGGGCCAGGCACACAGCAACCGGTGAGCACCTGCTGTATGCCAGCACCTCCCTTCCAGCACTCACCTCAGCCTGGGATGCTGCTCTGATGAGTCCTATTGTACAGGTGGGGAAACTGAGGCCCGAGACATGAAATGGCCCTTCCCAGGATCATACAACCAAAGGCCTCTGGGTTTCCCGCCAGCGCCCAAGGGTTTAAATAATGGCAGGCGGAGTCGGGGCAGCCTAAGGGTTGCGAGTTTGGGCTCTGGAGTCCGTTAGAATCCCAGCTTCTCTGGCTGTGGGGAGCTCTCTGAGCCTCAGTTTCCTCATCCATAAAATGGGGATAGAGGTAGCACCCACGACCTGGAGTTGCTATAAAGATTAAATAACAATTTCTGACTCTGCTGCTTGCCCATGGAATGATCCTGGGACAAACGGTTTTTGTCATTCACATGGATTCAGGGTTGTTTTCTCATGTGAAACAGCTAATATGTCCAGAAGGCAGAATGACATCAGCAGCAGCAGCAGCACCATCATCATCATCATCACTGGTGGTTTCTTAACCCTTATTACCTGCCTGACCTGGGCCACAGCGACCCCATCAGAGTAGCACTGTTGTGCCCATTTGGCAGATGAGAAACCAAGGCCCGGCCAGATTAAATGGCTTCACAAGGTGATGCCGCTCGTTATGGGCACAGTGAGAACTTGCACCTGAGGCTGTGGCCCCCGCAGGGTATGGTGGCTGCCACCCCCACACACACACCCCATTGGTGAAGAGCACAGGTGCTGGGACAGAATACGTGGTCCGACCACCTCCCAGCTGTGTGACCCTGGACAAGTCACTGGCCCTCTCTGTTCCTCAGTTTCTTCATCTGTGCAGCGGAGCAATGAGAGAACCCAATTCTCAGGTTATTAGGAGGTTCCGCGCCCCCATCTAGAGAAGTTGTGTAGCCAGGCCTGGGGCAGAGGGGAGGTTTTCATGATCATACACCAACTCCCCCTGCTCCCCCTCCCACGAATCCCACTTTCCCCTGCGTAATGGCCCTGGAGAGGTTTATGGGCTTCTCATCCGCCTCCCAGGCCTCGGAGAATGGCTCCAAGGATCCCTCAGGGCTGCTGGTCCAGCCTGGCTCCAGCCCCCTCGCAGCCCCCCATGCAGCCCTCCACCAGCCGTCTGCCCCTCATCCCTAGGGGCCCAGTATGGCCGTTAACTTTCAATGGTTGTGTTCGGGGAGGCGGGGGGAGTGGGCAGCAGCTGGAGGCGGCCGCCCTGTCCCCAGGGAGTCAGTGGCCGGGCCTAGACAACAAATTGGCAGCAGTCTCCCCGCCTGCAACCCTGTGGCCAGGGGCCAGGGGTTGGGACAGCTCTGACCTCCCGGGCAACGGCAAACGGCTGTGCTCAGTGTGGGTTAGCTGCTCTCCCCCTGGCTCAAAGCCTCTTAGAAGCGCTAAGAAATCGTTATTAAGCACCTACTGTGTGCCGGGCACCTGCTAAGCTCCTTAGCCAGTGCACCATCCCATTTCATCTTTATGGCAACAACCGTGAGACAGGTCCTGGCATTATCCCAGCTTCTAGACAAGGAGGCGGCTCGCCCAAAGGCATGCACGCAGGAAGGGGCCGGACCACAGATTTTAACCACCTGCCTCAACCTCTGGAATGTATTCTAGAGGTCGAGTCCAACAACCCCCTTTTACAATTGGGAAACTGAGGCCCAGAGAGGCGAGAGAAGGCTGGCTGCTGGCTCCTCGGGCCCTCACCTTCTCCCAGGACCATGCCAGACCCTCCTCTCAGAAATTAGGTGACCTTGGGCAAAACCCCTTCTCCTTGCTGGAGGATGTTTTCTCATCTGTGAACCACAGCGCAGGGCACACAATAGATACTTAATACTCATTGGGTGGATGGGTGGCTGGGTGAACATCGTGTGAGATATAACACATCCAGACTATATGATCGTGATGACAAAATTCTGTCCCATGGATCAGATGGGCGGACACCGCTTGCCTTTCCTCCAACCTCCCCCTCCCCACCCCCGCTGCGGAGCTCTGTATGGCAATGGTTAACTCCGGTCAGTGTAGCCCCACCCCCATCGGTTGTAACCTCCTTGCAGAGCGTGTGGGCTCCATCTGTCAGAGGCGGGACCATCCCAACATCCTTACAGTCCTTCACTCTCCTGGTGCCTGAACAGCTCCTCAGTCTACCCTGTGGGCAAGGAAGAGGGCAGCCTTGCTGAGGTCTAGCCCTCCTTTGGGGTCCTGCAGTCCCACCCCCAGAAACATGCATGCAGCACGCGTACACACACACACACACACACACACACACACACACGCCCCAAGCCAAGTTCTAGAAAGGGAAGATTCTCTTTTCCTAATTCCTAATGTAATCATTTCACATTATGCTCCCTCTCGGCCCAGTTGGGCATTTCTGCACTTGCTTTTGAGTTCCTTTTTCCTGGAAACGGCTACAAAAGATATGTTGGCTAAATAAACACCCCTGTGAAATGCTTAATCCCTTCCGTGTAAAGGCTGAATTGGAAACAAGGACAGTCTGTGGGGATGTAACAGTTTCTGACTAACCACAGCTGGAGGAGGCAGGTGAGGCTTCTTGTAACCGGCGTGGAGGTGACATCCAGGGAGGGCCCCGCATGCCTCTGCACCGCTGGGGGGGTCGTCTGACCCCCTAGTGACAGTGCTTTCTGGACAGATCCCTCCCAGTGACCATGAAAGGCAAGAGGAGAGAACGCAGTGAGGAGGCAGGAAGAATCATGGTTTGAGCGCCTCCTGTATGCTGGGCACTGTCTTACAGTTTATCTGCCCTCTGTCCTGGGAATCATTGTTACTAACCCATTTTACAGATGAGGAAACTGAGGTGCAGGGAGGTGAAGTGACTTGCCCAAGGTCCCACAGCTACAAAGGGGTGGACATGGGATTTGTACCCCCAGCAGATGTTCCTTCTACTGCTCAATTGCTATATCAACTCTAAGGAACCCCAAGATAGGAAATAAAGGGTTCGCCGTGGGCTTGACTTCAGCTCTGTAGGCAAAGATCCCCACAGAACTGTACTCCATCCACAAATATGTGTGGCCCTGTGCGGGCACCTTTGCAAGAACACCATCGCATGTCACCGTACAGACAGGGCAAGGGCCCTGGGGTCCAGTTCGCCTTGGTGGACAAATATTTGGGAGAGAATGAAAGCCTGGACTGGTGTCCTCTGAGTCTGTTCGGGTGTAGGACGAAGTTATCCCTGTCTTCCAGGAGTTTAGCGTCTACAAGGCGGATGTAGATGAGAAGAGATGCCAGAGTAAAAGTAATGGGTGATCGTGGGAGTTTGTGTCACGTGTAGACATGAATGGCACAGATCATTCTAGGGGATGAAAGATTGGCAGATGCTGACTGGTCTGGGAGGGCTTCCTGGGGACAGTGGTATCTAAGTGGGCAGAAAATGGAGAGAGATTGCGGCATGCAAGATACGTTGGAGCTGGGATGGAGGCCCTGTCTTCCTTGTCTACTCCAGCAGGTATGTAATAAGTGTCCACAGGCTGCCAGGCCTGTTCGGGGAGCTGAACAAAACAGAGCGCTCCCCATCCTGACCCTTGTAGAGTGAGGCTCAAAACGTGTATAAATGCAAAGTAAAGGGCCACTAGGGTTCGGGGAGTGGCCAGGAAGGGACTCTCAGAGGAGGGCTGAGATCAGAAGCCTGAGAAAGAGCCTGCCGGGAATGAGTACATGGAACAGCATTTCAGGCAGAAGGAACAGCATGTGCAAAGAGAACAGACTATTGGAGGAACTAAAAGATAACCAGGTTTGCCAGAGCAGAGGGGATGGGAAGGCAGAGAAGGGAAGGAGGGAGCCAAGGGCCAGATCATGGCAAGGAGCTGGACTCCTGCTCCCTGACAAGTTTTCAGGACAGTGACAGGTTCTGACGT